ACTCACAGACACACATGGACAAACACAGACACATACAACAAAGAGGCACACTCACAGACACACATGGACAAACACAGACACATACAACAAAGAGGCACACTCACAGACACACATGGACAAACACAGACACATACAACAAAGAGGCACACTCACAGACACACATGGACAAACACAGACACATACAACAAAGATGCACACTCACGGACACACATGGACAAACACAGACACATACAACAAAGAGGCACGCTCACAGACACACATGGACAAACACAGACACATACAACAAAGAGGCACACTCACAGACACACATGGACAAACACAGACACATACATTAGACACACGCGCACACAATACACACAGAGACACACACAAAGACACGAACACACACAGACACCCGCAGACAAACACACAGACACTCAGAAACAGAGAAACATATATACAGTCACATAGACACACACGCAGACAAACACGCACAGGCAAATACATACGGACACATACGCAGACACATCAAACATGCAGACAAACATAACATCATTGATGTTATTTGTGGCATCAATGAGGTTTCACAATGAAGACAGTACAGACAAGAACAGTTGTTGTTTAAAGACATTTGGTTATACAAGCCTCAGAGTCACGCGAGAAGCATGTAGCAAGGACGAGAGACCATCATCATCATCACTATCGACACAATCATCTTTCTCCTCGTCTATTCTCTTTTAGTTGACTCCTGTAGCAAACTAAAGAGGAACCTGGGTGTGACATCGACGTACACAAATAACACAGCTGTGCTACCAGACGCTACATGTGGTCAAAAGGAAGCATTCTTCCCACTTTTCTAGGTCCAGTTTCTCGGTCCCGGAAAGAAACAACAATCACGAAAAAAAAAGTGGATCATTTAAGAATGCCGGCAATAAGTAACATGAGGATTCTCAACAGTAGCAACCAGCCCAGAGATACTGATGTTTGTGTTAGCTGTAGGATTTCTGCGTGCATTGGGAAATCTCACGCGAGTGAGTAGACTTTCTGACAGATTTTACCAAAAGAGGGAAACAGAAGCGCACGTTCAATCACAATGCAGCTGGTATTATTAACAAGTCGACCTTTTTGTTGGCTATTTAAGAGATGGAAACGGAGCACGCGTTGGAATATATCTAGTGCAGCTAGGGTTGATATTGATTCATGCATTAATTTTTTATAATTATTGCCTGCCTGTGATGGCCGATTGTTAACACCAGTTGAAACATTGAATCTTGAGAGAATACACGAACTGTTGTTTGTCTGTGTTTACCGGCCGTAAGCCCCAATAAAAAGCTCTGTTTGTTCATCCATTTCTAGGCTGGCTTTATCCAGGACCTGAGTTTTGCATGTGCATCCGTTTTACAGATCTAGTTTATATGTTTGCAGACTGTTGGCTCCTAGCTTTTCAGGAAGATGCACGCTGACTTCAAACAAAGCTCTCCTTATTAGTCGACTGCTACGACAAGCTCTTGGGGGCGGGGGGGGGGGGGGAGTATATATATATGTTTTTTCTAAAGTGACCCCTGAAATTACCTGGGGATATAAGAGTGCCGTCAATGGCTCTGACAGAGGCAAAAGGAGGCATCGCGACAGGAAGCTGGGAACTTTGACATCGCAGCGTGTATGGCGTAAAATCTGATTACTAACGCTAAACGGTAATAACAAAAGGAAGTCAACGTGGCAGTGTAACAGTCGATGGATCATTAATGGGAAACCGCCCAGCAGACTGTGATAAAGCTCAAATGACTTCACTAATCACAGAACCACAGCCCGCATGATAGTGACATCAAAAAAATGTGTACACCTAAAAAGTGATTTGTATTCACTGAGCCAGCATCGCATTGGCTCTGCTCCATCAGTTTTATGGTCGCCATCTGCCTAAAAAAAACCGATGTGTCTTTCCTCACCAACAACTACAAGTATTTAAGATGATCGCTCTCGCCTCAGCTTCTGACTATCCATTCTAAGAACTGTGTGTAAGTAGTCGCAGCTGTCATATATATCTCTGTGTTATCCAGTCTTTTAGTCTGATCTCTCATAAGTACACGTTAGCGACGGGTTCTCTTGTTCATGTATTGTATCTCTCATAAGTACACGTTAGCGACGGGTTCTCTTGTCCATGTATTGTATCTCTCATGAGTACCTGTTAGCGGCGCGTTCTCTTGTCCATGTATTGTATCTCTCATGAGTACACGTTAGCGGTCTGTTCTATAGTTCATGTATTATATCTCTTATGAGTACACGTTAGCGGCGGGTTCTCTTGTCCATGTATTGTATCTCTCATGAGTACACGTTAGCGGCGGGTTGCCTTGTCCATGTATTGTATATCTCATGAGTACACGTTAGCGGTGGGTTCTCTTGTCCATGTACTGCATTTAGTGTTCCCAAAGCGTATATAAAATACAATAAAAGTAACGGACCATTTCACCGACTTGTGTGGCTATATTGACTCTCAGTAAGATACAGCGAAGGATATTATAATACTCATTGGCAGAGTAACAACCGTCTTTAAAAATTTTAAAAAAATATCATGCACTGAACTATGAATCTTCAGTTCTAACGTTACATAAATTCTAGCATATGCTAACGAAAGGTGGAGAGCCATCAAAGGTAGAATCGAAGGTTAAATGCAGTTCAAAATAAATATTTGAGAAAAATCATGAACAAAAAATGGGGATGAAATCAACAACAACCATCAAATGAAAACTAAAAAAAAAGTTGGGAGATAAGATTAATGTCTGGGTAATTATCTGTATTGACTACCCAAAAAAAATGGAGATATACTGAGCACACTGTGAGATATACTGAGCACACTGTGAGATATACTGAGCACACTGTTAGATATACTGAGCACACTGTGAGATATACTGAGCACACTGTGAGATATACTGAGCACACTGTGAGATATACTGAGCCCACTGTGAGATATACTGAGCACACTGTGAGATATACTGAGCACACTGTGAGATATACTGAGCACACTGTGAGATATACTGAGCACACTGTGAGCTATACTGAGCACACTATGAGATATACTGAGCACACTGTGAGATATACTGAGCACGCTGTGAGATATACTGAGCACGCCGTGAGATATACTGAGCACACTGTGAGCTATACTGAGCACACTGTGAGCTATACTGAGCACACTGTGAGATATACTGAGCAAACTGTGAGATATACTGAGCACACTGTGAGATATACTGATCACACTGTGAGCTATACTGAGCACACTGTGAGATATACTGAGCACACTGTGAGATATACTATGCACACTGTGAGCTATACTGAGCACACTTTGAGATATACCGAGCACACTGTGAGATATGCTGAGCACAATGTGGGATATAGTGATCACACACTGAGATATGCTGAGCACAATTTGAGATATACTGAGCGCACTGTGAGATATACTGAGCACACTGTGAGATATACTGAGCACACTGTGAGATATACTGAGCACACTGTGAGTTATACTGAGCACACTGAGATTTTCTGAGCACACTGTGAGCTATACTGAGCACACTGTGAACTATACTGAGCACACTGTGAGATATACTAAGCACACTGTGAGATATACTGAGCACACTGTGAGCTATACTGAGCACACTGTGAGCTATACTGAGCACACTGTGAGATATACTGAGCACACTGTGAGATATACTGAGCACACTGTGAGATATACTGATCACACTATGAGCTATACTGAGCACACTGTGAGATATACTGAGCACACTGTGAGCTATACTGAGCACACTGTGAGATATACTGAGCACACTGTGAGCTATACTGAGCACACTGTGAGATATGCTGAGCACAATGTGAGCTATACTGAGCACACTGTGAGCTATACTGAACACACTGTGAGCTATACTGAGCACACTGTGAGATATACTGAGCACACTGTGAGCTATACTGAGCACACTGTGAGATATGCTGAGCACACTGTGAGCTATACTGAGCACACTGTGAGCTATACTGAGCACACTGTGAGATATACTGAGCACACTTTGAGATATACTGAGCACACTGTGAGATATACTGAGCACACTTTGAGATATACTGAGCACACTGAGATATACTGAGCACACTGTGAGATATACTGAGCACACTGTGAGATATACTGAGCACACTGTGAGATATACTGAGCACACTGTGAGCTATACTGAGCACACTGTGAGATATACTGAGCACACTGTCAGATAAACTTAGCACACTGAGATACACTGAGCACACTGTGAGATACACTGAGCCCACTGTCAGATACAATAAAGAAACAATTACAAAACAGACACAGAAATAAGAACTAACGGTTTGAGAGAACAAGAGAATGTCCAAGAGACACATTTAAAAGAACGCGATTAAGAGAGGCTAAAGAGGCTGGGCTGAGCTCCGATGTGACGTCTAACGGCATGCAAAGGATGATTAGGTCAAACAATAATTGATTCGTTCATTGTCTGGCAATGATTCCACTGTTTTCCTTTTGTAACTCATGTGAGCATTTTTCTGTTTACAGTCAGTTAAATTATACAATTCTCATTATAGTTAAAATAGGGGAACAAGATCATTTATTTCGTGTATACACTTATGTAAACAGATATCAAGGCATGTAGTATTCAGTCACACATAATAAATGCTGCATCATAGTCCATAAGACTGGTTTATCATATTCACAAACAACAATCGATGAGTGAGTGAGTGACATTCAACCTCGCCAGAAACTGACAACGAAGAATTAACAACCGATGACAATTTGGATGAGAATCACCCAGGTGCAAGTCCTAGACATCAAGTGCAACGATTAGGATATATTAGGGCCCCTGATTACAGCCAGGGTAGGGCTTTAAAATAACCACACACAAAGTTTGCGTCCCAAATTGGGGCCAAGTTAAAAAGATATAAATCGTGTTATTCCCAATAACTTAAATTTAGTCTATTCTCTCTACAATTGATTTGTAGTACACACACAAAATGTACATGAAATGGTATCTCTAGACAGGCTTACAATGGCACATCGATGCTTTCCCCGTCTGCTGCTGGTTCTGGTCGCCCTGACAACGCTGTGTCAAGGTACGTACATTTGTCTGAGATCAAGAATGATAATGACCCGATTCATCTACAGATACAACATTCCACATAGAATGCACAGAATATCATGGTATGATGAAGCATTTCTCCTCGAGGCCACGTGTAAACTGATAGTAGAACATAGACGCAGACAGTCAATGATTTGTAGACATATTATGCAAGGAATAAACTGGCAAACACGGTGACAACTGGCAAGATTGATGGGGAAAAGATCAAACTGAAAGCAAACAGATTATTACTTGGATGGGTTGGTCATAGTAATCGGGGGACAAGGAGCATTGACCTGATTTATGCTTCTGGTGTGAGACAGCGAAATATGATAAAAGTTAAAATTAAAATAAAAACATGTAAAGATATCTTTGTTTGCTGCTGAAGATGCGGCCCTTGTGCAAGACATTGGGCGTCTTGTGAATTGAGTGCTACAACTGTATTGTATAGAACATTCAGCATTTGGTGTGGGTTGAAGTCATCATCATGTCGACCACCTTTACTTCCCAGGATTTTACCTGTACATATATTAGGCTTGGTTAAGCTGACAGCCAATGTAATGTTTTTACAGAAAAAAACTTCAGCTTGATGCAGATTTGAACCCACGACTGTCAGACAAACTTGCAGGCGTCTAGTCGCTAAACAGGACAGGCTGCTAACTAATAAATTGACAGTCCTTCTAGTTAGCATGTATACATTAAATATGATGAAATAATCGGTTAATTGACTGCAGGTTCCAAGATCGTGTTTACATCGACACCGACAAGCGTCTCTGATGGACTGACAAAACTACTCACTCTCCGCTGTGCCCTGCAGGTGAGTAATCGCCGCATCTACGTTCTCTGGTAAAAAAAGTTAACATTAAACTCATATACACTCATGCTGGATACAGGGGGGGGGAGGCATGTGGTCACTCATGCTGCACACGGGGGGCATGTAGTCACTCATACTGGACACGGGGGACATGTGGTTACCAATGCTGGACAGGGGGACATGTGGTCACTCATGCTGCACACGTGGTCACTCATGCTGGACACGTGGTCACTCATGCTGGACACGTGGTCACTCATGCTGGACACGTGGTCACTCATGCTGGACACGTGGTCACTCAAGCTGGACACGTGGTCACTCATGCTGGACACGGGGGACATGTGGTCACTCTGCTGGACAGGGGGACATGTGGTCACTCATGCTGGACACGTGGTCACTCATGCTGGACACGTGGTCACTCATGCTGGACACGTGGTCACTCATGCTGGACACGGGGGAAATGTGGTCACTCATGCTGGACACGGGGTACACGTGATTACTCATGCAAGCGTCATCTAATGAGTGTCCTCCAGTTGTAGATGAATATGAACAAACAACATACCTCTTTACAAAAACCAAAAAACATAAAGAAACGTAATTGTCTATTCCAGAATTCACGCCCCAATATACCAAATCTAAAACTAAGTAACCGTTTGTGTAAATTATTCCCATGTTACATGCAGCCTGTTCTTTGCTGCAAATATCACCCGCCTCCATTTATCTCTCTGGTTGACCTTCTTCAGCATTCCGAGCCCGTGAGTTTCAATACTGCAGATATCACATCCTCCATTCATTTCTCTGGTTACCATATGAAGTCGAGGCTTAGATATCTGTTTCGTGACGAGATACAGTTTTACGAAGGTGAGGGTGTCGGCCCCAGGCTTTAACACCCAACCTGTAAGACCAGGGTGTCTCTCTCTGTCAGTTCTCTACCCTTCGACCTTTCCGGCTTAGGATACCCTGCTGCTAGCTACGCTACCGCAGACATAGTTCTCAGGGTTGTTGAGGAACACAAGCCCCCCCACCACGGCAAGGTGGGGGGGGGGGGGGGGGGTTTGATAATGCTTGTAAGACATGTTGTTTTCTTATAATGTTAAAAAAAAGTCTTGTTAAAAACAGACGCAGATTCAAAGCAAACAAAAGCTTATTTACAGTTAAGTATAACCAGAACTTGTGAGACAGCAAATATTTCATATGCATCTCATTTTGTGTGGGTCATCTCCAGCATTCTTTTCCCGTGAGTTGCCGAGTTTTCATGGTACTGGGGATAAGATGTTCAAATGTCACCACTTACATACCAAATGATTTCCAAACAGTCTTCAAGTGTGTGCCAATTACTGTATATTTGTTTTTTCTTTAGGCGTGCATAAATTATTAGTTAAAAAAAGATCAAAGATATTTGCCACTTGAAGCAAACAGCAACACCTGTACAATTTTAACTTATAAAAGCAAACGGACATGGAGACTCGAAGGTCACGTGCAAACATTCAGGAGTTTCCAGAAATTTGTTGAAGTTTTAAAGCACAACTTTTGTAACACACTTTTGTCATCTTCACAAAATCACATTCAGACACGACCAAATCAGCACTGGGACTAGACAATCTTCGTCAGCATTAGCCACCAACGTACAATGGTGGAACTGTCAGAAAGAATACACCCTCACATGCCTGTCAAATGAAGTCTATTACATAAATATCCATCCCACTTTTCACTACAGAAATTTTGAGCCACTTTGTTAGAGAGGATCCCCTTATTGAACTAAGTTTTATCCCATGTGTCTCGGTCTCTCTCCGCATAAAGGCTTTCTATCTGCCGAAAGTGTCTCATTATTCACAAACTCCGTAGCTTCGGCGAGGATCTCCATTCAAAATTGCACTCGTGAATTAAACGGCATCGCCGTGAATACAACCCTCGACCTTCAGAGCGCGAGGCAAACGGCTTGACCACTTGACACTGTGGAGACCCCAAATACAGCCCCGTCCCTCCTCCAACCCACTCCATGCAGACGCCAAATACAGCCCCGTCCCTCCTCCACCCCACTCCATGCAGACGCCAAATACAGCCGCCTTCCTCCCCCACCCAGTCCCACTCCATGGAGACCCCCGCCTCCTAGCTCCAACTGTTACACACGTTTCAAATATAACTGTAAAAAGTGTTAGTTTTTAATTCTTAGTAACTGTTTTTAGGACTTTCTTTATTTTTAATTTGCTTTTTTTGTCTACATACTTTTCTTATCGATTTGCTAATAACTGTCTACAATGTGTCTCATGTAATTCAGTAACTGTCTTGAGATATCGCTTGTCCAGTTCTCAATAACTGTCTCAAAGTTTGTCTGTTCGTATATTCGTAACTGTTTCTGACTGTTTATTGTTGGATTTCAGCTCTCTAAATGTTGTTTGTTACGACAATATTAACAGATAGTTTTTTTTTTTCTTTCAATTGTTCGGTGTAACCTGTAACAAACAAAAAAAGGAAGATATTGTCTATTTATGTTTACAATAAACTGATACATCATTGTAACTGAAGTAACACGTTCACAATAACACGAAGTATACTTGTCTTTAGGATGACACCAACTCAACAAACACCGTGTCCCGTCTGTCAACGATCACCATCAGGAAAGGTAAGTTTCAAAAAAAGATCATGAATTTTACTGACGTCAAAGAGATAACATGGTGAATGACAGTTGTTGCAGACACATTCACAGAGTGGTAAACAGTCCATACTTCAGGTGGCAGCCAGAGGAAGATAAAGACAGATAAACACTCAGATTAACAGACAGACAGATACACAGACAGATGGGCAGAAACTTCTACTTGAGAGTGGGGCAAGTCTGCAGCCAGAGGGAGATAAGACAGATATGCACTCAGATTAACAGACAAACAGATACATAGACAGATGGGCAGAGACTTCTACTTGAGACTGGGGCAGGTCTGCAGCCAGAGAGAGATAAAGACAGATATGCACTCAGATTAACAGACAGACAGATACATAGACAGATGGGCAGAGACTTCTACTTGAGGCTGGGCAGGTCCTGTGCGGGGATCGTCGGCTTGTAGACTCAGCTGCGCTCATATTTCGACAAAGTTTTAAATGTATTTTTAGATACGTTTTACAAAGTGAAGTAAAGCAATACGATAGTTTCTGGTTACAGCATTGAAGACTCCAACAAACAGACAATGTCACTTATCCACTAAACCCCAGATGTCACTTATCCACTAAACCCCAGATGTCACTTATCCACTAAACCCCAGATGTCACTTATCCACTAAACCCCAGATGTCACGTATCCACTAAACCCCAGATGTCACTTATCCACTAAACCCCAGATGTCACTTATCCACTAAACCCCAGATGTCACTTATCAACTAAACCCAGATATCACTTATCCACTAAACCCCAGATGTCACTTATCCACTAAACCCCAGATATCACTTATCCACTAAACCCCAGATGTCACTTATCAACTAAACCTCAGATGTCACTTATCCACTAAATCCCAGATGTCACTTATCCACTAAACCCCAGATGTCACTTATCCTCTAAACCACAGTTTTGAAATGTATAATTATTAAAGAGACAATTTATTGACCGGTATTCACAGACAAAAGTAGAAGGAAGGACACACTAGACAAGATAAAAATTGAAAGCTGTAGTTATCGTGCCGGGAATCGAACCTATCACCTCCAAATGGCGTGTGCACCTCGCTATGGAAACAAGCGTAGTAAGAACATAGCTAAATAGGCAACCCCAGTAACAGCCATGACCGGCTCCAGCTGACGGGCCGTGCTGCTGACGTCACCGCGTCAGGCTAACGATGTTGAAATCCACAACTATGAAATACGGAGAGAATTCATCTCAAACCATTGAAATAGCACCATAGGTTAGAGAAATGTATATTAATAAAGCACAGGTAGAATAACAAACACAGCAACAATTTACAAACACAGCAGACAGTAATTCTTTATCTAGAATACACGACCATTTAGGACAGAGACTTGGTAGGTAGGTTCCATTCTGTTACACGTCACTCACATAAATAAACAGAGGGGAAACACATGAAGCCGTGGAAATATTATAGATTAATAAATAAAGTAAATGAAATAATTGTAAATATTATAGATATATAATTAATAAAGAGACATGTATTGACCGACACTCACAGAAAGGAGAATAACGATAAAAGGACACACTAGACAACATAAAAATCGAAAGCTATAGTGACCTTCCGGGAATCGAGCCTGTCACCTTCAAATGGCGTGTACCTAATTTTGAAACTCCTAGCTATCCCAGTCGAGATACTGAGACAACTGATAAATGCAATCCTAATACCAACCTTGTGTTATCTGTGTCAGACACGAACACTGACTTAAACACACACAAACACACGCACGCACAAACACACACACACCCACACAAACACACACAGAGAAGGAAACTAACTTACAGCGAAAGGAAATGTGTCAGAAAGTCCGCGAACCCCAATTTTCACCAGCGACTATGTGAGAATTTACAAGAGCTGTTGCAACAAAACCAATAATTACATTATCTGAAAAACAAACACGAAATGGTGAGGCCATTTAAATAGAATGAGTCCAAAGACGCCAGCGGCGAGAACGTACAACATGACAGTAGGAACACCAAGAGATAAGAGACGACCAAGAACATGGATAGAAGGAGTCACTCATACCTCCAGACTCCACAACATCACAGCGTACTGGGCAACCGAGCGTGCCCTAGCTCGGGAACCAATCATCTAGTGGTCAAACTATGAAATTGTTGGTTAGACGAAATTCAAGTTGCGTAGTGTATATAATACTGATGACATGATACCCAATGGACCTCTTCTTCTTCTTTTTCTTCTTTTTCTTCTTCTTCTTCTTCTTGTTCTTCTTATTTTATTATTATTATTATTATTATTTTTTCTTCTTCTTCTTTACTTCCTCTTTTACCTCATCAGGGTCGGGGTGATGCAATATTCTGCTTTTGTCTGTTTTGGCCGCATTGACCACAGACACATCGCGCTGTTGTAGAGTTTCTCCATTGCGTTCTTTCCACCTTGTTTATATTCTACTTTGTGTTTTACGTCTTTCTCCTCGTTTCTTGTAGGCTTTAAATGGGACGGCGTCACATGTCATTCTCAATCGTCAAATCATTTTACTACCTGTAGTTGATTCAGTTTAGAATCGGTTCTGTACCGACTTTCAATTTGATGATCCAATTGCAAACTGTTTCGCTTCTGGCCAGTCCGCTTTTCATCTCCGTGGTTACTGATTGCCTTTCCTGTGCTTGACTGCCAGTCACCATGGGACTCACAATCTAAAAACAAAAAACCATATTTAGCGTTAGAGGAAATTGGTCTTGCCAATATGTGACACGGCGTCACTAGAGATTCGTTACAGAGACAGTATACCGGCACCAACCATGATGTAAAGAAGGTTTCAGACTAGTCATACAAGGTAACAAGTGCCAGGGTCTGGGCACACGGGGCATTTATTTCGCAGAAAAAAGAAACGGCGGCCAGTGACAAGGATAGAACTCACGACATTCACGTTATTAGCACGGGCTCTAACCAACTGTGCTAACCAGTCAGAAAAAAAGGAATAGTTTGCGGAGATGACACTGGGCACTGAATGATCACCTCAGTTTCAGGTAAACATATACAGTAAACCAGTGCATAGTAAGAACAAGTCAAAGATATAAATAACTAACTGGATAGATCTGCCATGTTCATTTAGGCGAAACAGGAACACTGACCTGGTCCGTAAATCTGGTGATCCTGTTTGAGAGCGAGACCTATTAGCACGTCACATGATGATGATACTTTGCAGGAACTGAACATAGTTTTATTTGAAAATATAGTGCTAGAGAAGACAGGGAGGGAGGGTATCTCTAACACATGCCATACAGACTGATTTAAAATACCCTAACATAGTTCATGTTCTTCAACCTCTAGCCGAAGGCGCACAACAGAAGGAGGTGGCCAAAGTTGTATCGGGACAAGCAGCTGTAGCTGGAGCTGTGGCAGCAGGGGCCAGCGTTTCGAGCAACATCTCCAACACAGTTGGCTATCTACAGGTCAGCTGGTCCAATCCGGGACAACCTCAAGCTGGCGCATACAACTGTGAGATTGTGGCACTAGAAGCGGACGGCACCAACGTCAAGCTAAAGTCCATCGTGGAAGTGCAAAGCACAAGTCAAAGTCTCGGAGACTTGACCCGGCTGATTTCAAAAGCTAATGATGACATTGAGGCTTTGGAGAACAAGGTTAGCCTGTTGCGTCCGCCCCATGCAGAAGAAGGAACTGTTGACTGTGGATCTTCTACAACATGGGGCGCAAACTTGCAACCCAGAGAGGCGGTCAGAGAAGTTCTTTTCAAGGTTCCTTATGAAAGGGTTCCACAAGTTGTTATCGCCATTGCGGCTTTCGATGACGCGTCCCACACGAGGATTAACATTGCCATCAGGGACCTAACCACAACCGGGTTCAAGATCGTTTGTGCCACTTGGTGGGACTCATATATTTATGGCGTCTGGGTGCGCTGGACCAGCAGTGTGGCGTAGCGTTCTCACCTGATGGACCTAATGGCCAAGTATTGCGTACGTCCGCACATTGTCTCTTTATTTCTCTTTTATTCCTGCGGGTGTCGATAGAGATTTAAGATTTTCTTCTTGCTCCTTTGACCGCCTTGACCGTAGACAAATCGTACCACGATTATCACATGCCCCCCCCCACCCCTTTCCCCCTCCTATCTTGTTCTTGGTCTACCTGACGTACTTTGTCCATCTCCTCTGTTAGCGTATGCGGTGTATGGTATGCCGTCACAAGGCATTGTGCCTAAGTAAGCAAACTATTTGATTTGCCTTCTTTGCCTGTAATTTAGAACTGACAACCTCTTCTCTTTTGCCCGAATTCGTGATTTTATCTCTTTGGGATTTTCTTAGGCTGTAAGAGGGGCAGTGGCGTTGGGGGGGGGGGATTAGGGTGGTGGGGGCGATACCTGACCCAACACTTAGTCTCCCTTATTGCATCAGGGGATGATTTCTTTAGCTCATTTACCATCTACGGTCAGACAGAGAGACAGTTCGGCCCAAAATGTCAGTTCCATACCAACTTTAGTCCGTTTAACTGGGAAGTCAGCAAATGTATTTCTTCTGTATCATTAGACTATATCGATTATGTCTTACATACACTTTCCTGGGTTTGACATACGTGTTACTGGGGGTGACATACGCTTTCCTGGGTTTGACATACGTGTTACTGGGAGTGGCATACGCTTTCCTGGGTTTGACATAGGCGTTACTGGGAGTGACATAAGCTTTCCAAGAATTGAATAAACAGATCAATTGTATGGATCACTTCAGTATATTGATTTTGATTGTTTAATGATTGTTACTGTCATTCAGTTAATGATTGTGACTCTTTGTTGACTATAATTGTTTGTTGACTATGATTGTTTGCTGATCGTGATTGTTGGTTGATTGTGAATATGTGTTGACTGTGATTGTTTATTTCCTGTGATTGTTTGTTGACTTTGATTTCTGTCGACTGTAATTGTTTGTTGGCTGTTTTTGTTTGTTGGCTGTGATTGTTTGTTGACTGTGATTGTTTGTTGACTGTGATTGTTTATTTCCTGTGATTGTTTGTTGACTTTGATTGTTTGTTGACTGTGATTGTTTGTAGACTATGATTGTTTGTTGACTGTTTTTGTTTGTTGGCTGTGATTGTTTGTTGACTGTGATTGTTTGTTGACTGTGATTGTTTGATGGCTGTTTTTGTTTAGTGGCTGTGATTGTTTGTTGAATGTTTTTGTTTGGTGGCTATGATTGTTTGTTGAATGCGATTGTTTGTTGACTGTGATTGTTTGATGGCTGTTTCTGTTTAGTGGCTGTTTTTGTTTGGTGGCTGTTTTTGTTTGTTGGCTGTGATTGTTTGTTGGCTGTTTTTGTTTGGTGGCTGTGATTGTTTGGTGGCTGTGATTGTTTGGTGGCTGTGATTGTTTGTTGGCTGTGATTGTTTGTTGGCTGTGATTGTTTGTTGGCTGTTTTTGTTTGGTGGCTGTGACTGTATGTTAAATGTGATTATTTGGTGGCTGTGACTGTATGTTAAATGTGATTATTTGGTGGCTGTGACTGTATGTTAAATGTGATTATTTGGTGGCTGTGACTGTATGTTAAATGTGATTATTTGGTGGCTGTGACTGTATGTTAAATGTGATTATTTGGTGGCTGTGACTGTATGTTAAATGTGATTATTTGGTGGCTGTGACTGTATGTTAAATGTGATTATTTGGTGGCTGTGACTGTATGTTAAATGTGATTATTTGGTGGCTGTGACTGTATGTTAAATGTGATTATTTGGTGCTGTGATTGTTTGTTGAATGTGATTGTTTGATAGCTGTGATTGTTTGTTGGCTGTGATTGTTTGTTGGCTGTGATTGTTTGGTGGCTGTGATTGTTTGGTGGCTGTGACTGTTTGTTGGCTGTGATTGTTTGGTGGCTGTGACTGTATGTTAAATGTGATTATTTGGTGCTGTGATTGTTTGTTAAATGTGATTATTTGGTGGCTGTGACTGTATGTTAAATGTGATTATTTGGTGCTGTGATTGTTTGTTAAATGTGATTGTTTGTTAAATGTGATTGTTTGTTAAATGTGATTATTTGGTGCTGTGATTGTTTGTTAAATGTGATTGTTTGTTAAATGTGATTGTTTGTTAAATGTGATTGTTTGTTGACAGTTTTTGTTTGATGACTGTTTTTGTTTTTTGGCTGTTTTTGTTTCTTGGCTGTGATTGTTTGTTGACTGTGATTGTTTATAGACTTTGATTGTTGACTGTGATTGTTTATTGACTTTGATCATTTGTTGGCTGTTGTTTTCGTTGGCTGTGATTGTTTTTGGCTGTGATTGTATGTTGACTGTGATTGTTTGTTTACCGTGATTGAATATTGGCTGTGATTATTTGTTTTGGACCTATGATTGTGTGTTGTCAGTAATTTTTTTGGACTATGATTGTGTGTTGAATGCTATTGAGTGTTGACTTTCATAGTTTTTTTTTACTGTGTGTTGACTGTGACTGATGATTAGCTATGATTGTATGTTGACTGTGAATGTTTGCTGACTGGGGTTTGTGTTGTCTATAATTGGTTGCTGAGTTTGATTGATTTGTTGTCCATGACTGTTTGTTGATTGTGATAGTGTGTTCAATGTGGTTGATTGCTGACTGTGTTTGGCTGTTGATCATGATTAATTTTTGATTATTGATTTTAGAACATGAAAATAAAAATAAAAACTGAAAATACATGGAAAGAAAAACATAAAATGCTAGATTTGAAGACACGTGTAATGACGTGGCATGTAAGACACGAAAACACATCAGCAAGTACAAAGTAAATGACCCTTTTCCACACCTTCAGGTGCACTGGGCAAATAGGGCTAGACCTATAATTTATAGACCATTCGACTTCAGTGGAAGATGTGGTCAACATAACGCCAGCACCTTGAATATCAAGGGTTTTACCTGGCACACCTTTAAGACTGTGTCTAACCTGGAACTGATGTCAAAAAAAACAAAATGGTGAGGTTGCGACAGGATCTGAACCCAAGACGTACGTATACACAGGTCAACATCTTGTCGCTACATCACGGCAGCTCACAAATACACAGGCCAACATCTTGTCGCTACATCACGGCAGCTCACAAATACATAGGCCAACATCTTGTCGCTACAGCACCGCAGCTCACAAATACATAGGCCAACATCTTGTAGCTACATCACGGCAGCTCACAAATACATAGGCCAACATCTTGTAGCTACATCACGGCAGCTTACAAATACATAGGCCAACATCTTGTAGCTACATCACGGCAGCTCACAAATACACAGGCCAACATCTTGTAGCTACATCACGGCAGCTCACAAATACACAGGCCAACATCTTGTAGCTACAGCACCGCACCTCACAAATACACAGGCCAACATCTTGTAGCTACATCACCGCAGCTCACAAATACACAGGCCAACATCTTGTAGCTACATCACGGCAGCTCACAAATACACAGGCCAACATCTTGTAGCTACATCACGGCAGCTCACAAATACATAGGCCAACATCTTGTCGCTACATCACCGCAGCTCACAAATACACAGGCCAACATCTTGTAGCTACATCACGGCAGCTCACAAATACACAGACCAACATCTTGTAGCTACATCACGGCAGCTCACAAATACACAGGCCAACATCTTGTAGCTACATCACGGCAGCTCACAAATACATAGGCCAACATCTTGTAGCTACATCACGGCAGCTCACAAATACATAGACCAACATCTTGTAGCTACATCACGGAAGCTCACAAATACACAGTCCAACATCTTGTAGCTACATCACCGCAGCTCACAAATACATAGGCCAACATCTTGTAGCTACATCACGGCAGCTCACAAATACACAGGCCAACATCTTGTAGCTACATCACGGCAGCTTACAAATACACAGGCCAACATCTTGTCGCTACATCACCGCAGCTCACAAATACACAGGCCAACATCTTGTCGCTACAGCACCGCAGCTCACAAATACATAGGCCAACATCTTGTAGCTACATCACCGCAGCTCACAAATACACAGGCCAACATCTTGTAGCTACATCACGGCAGCTCACAAATACACAGGCCAACATCTTGTAGCTACATCACGGCAGCTCACAAATACATAGGCCAACATCTTGTAGCTACATCACGGCAGCTCACAAATACATAGGCCAACATCTTGTAGCTACATCACGGCAGCTCACAAATACATAGGCCAACATCTTGTAGCTACATCACGGCAGCTCACAAATACACAGGCCAACATCTTGTAGCTACATTACCGCAGCAAACAAATACACAGGCCAACATCTTGTAGCTACATCACCGCAGCTCACAAATACACAGGCCAACATCTTGTAGCTACATCACCGCAGCTCACAAATACACAGGCCAACATCTTGTAGCTACATCACCGCAGCTCACAAATACATAGGCCAACATCTTGTAGCTACATCACCGCAGCTCACAAATACACAGGCCAACATCTTGTAGCTACAGCACGGCAGCAAACAAATACACAGGCCAACATCTTGTAGCTACAGCACGGCAGCTCACAAATACACAGGCCAACATCTTGTAGCTACAGCACGGCAGCTCACAAATACACAGGCCAACATCTTGTAGCTACATCACGGCAGCTCACAAATACACAGGCCAACATCTTGTAGCTACATCACCGCAGCTCACAAATACATAGGCCAACATCTTGTAGCTACATCACGGCAGCTCACAAATACATAGGCCAACATCTTGTAGCTACAGCAAGCACGGCAGCTCACAAATACATAGGCCAACATCTTGTAGCTACAGCAAGCACGGCAGCTCACAAATACACAGGCCAACATCTTGTAGCTACAGCAAGCACGGCAGCTCACAAATACACAGGCCAACATCTTGTAGCTACATCACCGCAGCTCACAAATACATAGGCCAACATCTTGTAGCTACATCACCGCAGCTCACAAATAC